GATTGACCGTGAGTACATTGGTATGCTGTGCTTGGTGAAATTCAGGGCTGGCCGTTCTTCGGCATTATAACCTAAAGACGGCCCTTACGTTATGCAAGGCATCGGCCGACTGAGGTGACGTCGACCCTGCTGCTGATGACATCATCATACCACCGGTGGTGGGTGAGCGGAAGAGTGCAGTTGGACTGCCAGGGCTGGTGGTATTGGGCGACACAGGTAGCTGTGACATATACGATGCTTCGGCTATGCACACAGACATACATACAGACAAATATAAACCTAGCATCGAAATTCGAAATCCCTCCAAATTACAAGCCAGTGTACATTGTAGACTACTATATTTGGTGTACAGTATTTTATTAAGTGACATTATGAAGTTGTCGGACGAGTGCTTCTGCACAGAACTCGGAGTAACACCGAATTTCTCCTCAGTCCATTGCTCGGTGACTTGTGTGACAGACAGACAGACAGACACACACACACCACAAAGCAAAAAGGAGCCTGTGGTGCAGTTAGTGCAGAGAGAGAGAGAGAGAGAGAGAGAGAGAGAGAGAGAGAGAGAGAGAGAGAGAGAGAGAGAGAGAGAGAGAGAGAGAGGGAGAGAGAGAGAGAGAGAGAGAGAGAGAGAGAGAGAGAGAGAGAGAGAGAGAGAGAGAGAGAGAGAGAGCAGCCAGTAGAGTAACTCTATGTGTGTAGGAGTCCGGGCCTCTCTGGGGGTGTTGAACAGTGCATTACTGATTCTAAAGGAGCTTGGTGTGCGCGCGCGTGTGTGTGTGAATGGGTGAAATGAACAACGTGATTCAAGCGAGTCCCTGTTGCCAGTTTCATGCAAACGTTCTTATGCCATTAAATTGTTCAGCATGCAGTGACGGGCGAACACTACTAGGGCTAGCTCAAGAAGTGAGCAACCTAGCAAATAAACAAAACACCAAGAGAATAAACATACCTTCTGCTACGTCGTCAATCAGCGACGGGAAGGCGTAAATCTGAAACAAGTACGCGTACACCCATACCCACGCACAAGCACACGCCCACCCACACCCACGTACAAGCACCCACCCGCACCCAAACAAAGAGGATTGTCTGCATGCATAACGCCAGAGAGTGCACACCAACTACAGGACCACCGGTGTGCAACTCCAACATGCAGTGATGCTGGTAACTACATGTCCCAGGGGTACTGTAAATCATGAATATGTAACGAACAAGTAAATCTAACGAGTTAACGAGCAAAGATTTATCGTTATTTTAAAATTCGTTAGCAAAAGTCGTATGATTTGGGCCTCGCACGATTGAAATCGATCATTTCACATTATGGCATGCAGCGCGTGTTCAACGGATCGTAACTCAGTCAATTCTCAATGGAATTCAACAATCAAAAGATCTAGATGATAGCAGAGACGCTCAGCAGTCGGCTCAAACAATTCCGAAGTCTCTCAGATGATTTTTGACGAAGCCGCAGGAGATCGTTAATTTGAATATTTTACGCTCTTACGCTGGATAAATTTCATTTTCATTATTCTACTGACATCGAGGTATACTGTCATGGACAACAATGTATGTCCTTGACGAGCATTCCTAGTATTATTGCATCTGTCTGAGAAAATCGTTAACTTTTCAAACCGTTAACCTTCGAAAATCAGAAAATCGTTAACTTTGCGGGTCGTTAAAATAATATGATTTACAGTATTAGATAAACTTGTTTTTGTTGAAACATGTTGTTGGTTGACAGCATGTAACAAGGTGGAGGACACCGTGTTTGGAAACAGTCGCAGGGTTATAGCCAGAATAAAGTGAATGAGGGTGGGGATCATTGGACCTAAAATTGTGTGATTTTACCGCCATTTTATGCTGTGCTGCTACATGAGATGTGATATGAGTACTTATTTTGTATTTTTTGTATCGTATTTTATTGTTTTACTTGGACGTTCGTATCATGCATATAAAAAGTTGGCACTCGCACTCTGAAGAGCGGCACATTCATTCTGTAAGAGGGAGGTCAAAAAGTGAAGAAGGGTGCAGCGCCCAGCTACGTCGCTTTGGCGAGAACCCTGCATCCTCGGAGCATCGTTCCCGACAGTGCCAGTCTCCATGAAGTACTCCACCGTGCAGATACTAGATATGAGGCTCCCAGTCGAACACGAGAAAACATGTCACCAAACCCATTCATGCTGCTGAGCGCGAAAAGGCAGCGGTGCAACTAAAGAAGAAGAGTATGTCCTGTGACCCCACCAACTTCACACATCAATCAATCTTGTCACAGGAATTGCTCCACACTCCCGTGACTCCACACACAAAACAAACAGATCATGTGACTAAAGAGCTTCCTCCTTATATGGGGCCTGTACAACAAGAACAACGAAAACATACCTTTGCGACTCTCCCAAGCAGCGTGAGGTTATTCATCTGAGAGAGATCCAGCCGCATCAGTCTGGGCACGAGGTCCAGAAAGAGGCGGGTGTAGAAGAGCACGTGCGTGCACACATACGGACGCCTGCAGTATCACGCAACGTCATTGGTTGTCATGGCGACAACCGTCATGATGACGCGGCGGCCCATCACAAACACCGCCGTATTGCCATGGCACCATCAACACACACACACACACACACACACACTCAGACACGCACACACACACACAGGAGGCAAGGCACACGACAATGAAATCCAGCAGTTCACTAGCATCAAGCAGGGGCGTCACACACGGCACGACCAGTACGACAATGGTCGTACCACTTTTCGTCCAGGACGTGCTCTGTTAGCCGAAAAATCCAATCCCCCCCGGTCTGTGGTCGTACCACTGCACAATGCCCTGCGATGCCCCTGATCAAGAGTACACGAAACCCAGAATGTGCAGCTTCTGCCCTTTTCTGCATGGGTGTCTGTCATGGCGAAATTCCGGGATTACATCACATTCAGTGCAGGTCCCCGCTTACCAGACTGCCTGATCATAGGACTTGCTCTCATCATTGGCGTTCTGTGTACTATCAACATAACGCCACGGTTGAATGTAGCTTAGCCACGTCTCCAACACCTGAACACAATGCATAAAGCCATAAACACGAGAATGAGCATAATCAACAATAACGGCAACAGCAAAAACACTACAACTCGCAGCAGCAGCAATACCATCGCAAATACCACCAAGCATCCGCAAAGAGCCCACTCACATGCTGTACGTGCTACAGATCAGTGACATTACTAGTCACTGATCCAGACTAAGCCTTTTGAAATGACTGCTTACCACACGGAATCCAGAATTCAGTGGCCAGTGCAGGAAATGATGACGTAGAAATGAGTAGAGCGGTCGCTGTACAAACTGCACTATCAGTATCCTGTGTAAACATGAACACACACACACACACACACACACACACACACACACACAACACACACACACACACACACGCACGCACGCACGCACACACACAAGTATAGCCAATAAAGCAGATGATAGAGTAAAAGAGCAACAGGACCTAAAGACTACAATAACATTTTCACAGTTCTTGTGAAAGCCAATCAGACTTTTCCACGCAGGAACGAAACCATCTACATCACTCACCAAGGTGCAGCTCCAGCTCCTAAGGAGAGGGAGGCGAGTACAGTTGCGCTCGGGGAAATCCCACCCAGAGTACACACTTGGCGCCCTCAACTGGCACGGCCCATGACGCCCTGGAAGTGGCACGAAGGCTGCTGGACGTACACATGTATTGTATTGTACCGCAAGAGTGCCCCGTCTCGCGAGAGCGCCCCACCTTGATTTTACAGCCAGGGAAAGGGAAATCATATTATGGCAGAGTGCAACGAAGTTTGTACGGTGTGAGAACCTTAGTGTACTAAGGTCGCACTTAGCAGGTTTTTGTGTGGAGCTCGTGTCCGTCCGAAGGTAAATCAAGTATGGATTGACTGCACAGCGCGAATTGTGTGTACAAGGTTCGTGTCGTATGACCTGCATACAGGACGCCACCTCCACAAAAGGACGCATGGTGGGGCGCTCTTGCGGTACTTTACGGTACAGTCAGACCTTGCTTTAACCACACATATCCGTTTTCAACAAAAAAATCCGGATCGGCGCGGGAACCGGATAGTCGAACACACATACTGTATGTATGCATGACATAAGCTGTAAATCGGTAACCAATGATTTTCGTCCGGATGGCGAGGGATCCGGATAAAAGAGGACGGGATAAGTGAGGTCTGACTGTACATGTACAAGCAAAATGATGTAATCGTAACTGGTCCAGGGCGTCAGCTTTGCACTTTGGGTCGGATTTCAGTGAGCGCAACTGTAGACCTGATGAACCAGACATATATAACATAGATGGGCCTGGCCCGAAAATTATTTGGATTTTATTTAATTATTAATTATTTTTGGACAGAAAGTGGTGGACATCACGCAACTGCATTGTAATTATTTTTGGAAGAATTTGTAGCCGAGACCGTTTTTGGGTAGTGGTGTATAACTGTGTGAACGATGTACTAGTAGTGGGAAAACTGCTTTATACTAACCGCCGGAGCTCATTAGTCATCGTCATGAGAACCTGATCGTGCGAGGACGGGGCATTGCCAAGGAGACGCGACACCTTTGCCGTGGCAACCGAGGTCAGGGAGGGCTTGGGTGCTCCGGCGTGATTGGTGAACATGTGGCAGTGCTTGACAAACATGCGCACAAGACGAAGATGATCGTCCGTCGCCATCCACGCTTTCTGAAAAGGAAAGAAAGTCACACACACAAAATTCTAGACCAAATTGGAAATGCATCTGCACAATCCATACCAGTCCAAATTAATACCAGGAAATTGTAGGAAACAAATTCCTAGTGATCATCGGAGTGGTGTGGATTGCGCAGATGCATTTACTGCATTGAAGAATCACAGAAAAAAATGTCACAAAAATAGCGCCATGAAGGTTTTACACGGAGCAAGACCGATGTATGTACAGTAAAACCTGTAACTAAAGACCACCGTGACTAGCGACCAGCCTGGTACTACAGTAAAACC